AAAGGATGGCAGAAATATTAAAGAAAGGCTGCGGTGAACTGTGTGCCGTTATCGCTAACAAATGTTTCAAGGGGTCAGTGTACAGCGAAACTTCGACGGAGGGCGGCAACTATGGTCGATGATGTTGCATAAGGAAAACCAACTATCTCTGGCCACTTTGCATGTGCGTCAACAATATAAGATACATAACTCCATCGATGGGGCCAGCAAGGTCTGCATGAACTCGACCATGTTTTATTGGGAAAAGGCCAAGGCAGTGTGTCCATTCGGAGGAGCTTTTGCGACAGAGTTGTAGCGTGTACAATGCTCTGCGATATTCACAATATCCATATCCATATGATGCCAACGAACGTAACTACGAGCAAGTACTTTCATACGTCCGGTAGCAGGACAGCTGTTATGAAACTGTTTCAGGATAGTTTGACCTAAGGAATCAGGTACGACAACACGGAGTCCACTACAGAGAGCGACTATCGCTTAAGATATGACTGTCGGATACCATCTGAAGTAAGATCAGACGGCCCTTGAGACTAAGTGAACGTGATGGCTAGCTGAAGAGTTTGATCTTGTTAAATCACGCGCTTAAAGTCAGCTGCGGTTACGGGAATACCGTGGATAGAGTCCATCAGAACCGGACTCACATTGTCTTCGACAGCAAGCGCTGTAATGACCATTTCTTCTTCAGCAGGTTGGTGTTCACTAATTAAGTTAGAAAGTGCATAGACAACACAAGTCTTTTGTGCGGCCAAAAAGTATGTTAAAATCGTAAGCAAGCAGCGAAGTGGCCCAAAGCTGTGAACAACTAGCTAAGTGAACCAGAATGACCCCTTTGGAACCAAATATAGACATAAGTGGCTTGTAATCAATTAGTAGAGAGTAATGACAATCATAATGCATTTGGTAGAATTTTTGTAACAGCAAATATAGTGACCATAGTTTCTTTCTTAGTTTGTGGATTGTTTTTCTCAGAAGGCGTAAGGGAGCGTGCGGCATGCATGGTATCCTTTTCATTTCCACCAGAAAATGTGTGGGAGATGACATCATCTACACCGTAGTCGAATGCATCCACCGCAACGGTGATAGGTAGAGTAAGACCATACTACGTGGGTAGAGTAAGTCGAAAGCGAGAGTGGATTTCAACTGCCCAAATGCATGTTCGCAATCGGGGGACCAATGCCATGTTTCAATCCTTTTTAATAACTGACTAGTGCACAAACTTTCTGCAGTGCCGGCGAAAATACGCTGTAGTAGCTGATTATCATTGAAAATGAACGAAGTGCTGCTACATTCTTGGGCCTCAGCATGTTTTGGATGACTGTTATTCTCGTTAGATCCGGACGGCGTCCACTTCCATAAGAAAACCTAAGTATTTGATGGACTGCAGGAAGAATTGTATTTTTGTGTCGTTAACAGAGCCAAAACTCATAGATACGCTTCACGACGTTAGCCATCCTGTCCTTCGGCTCAGTCTCTCTTGGTTGCTATGATAATATCATCAAGATAAATCGCAGCGCCGAGCCGATCGGATGACATAGTGTACATTATTTATTGAAAATAGTCGGGACAGTCTTCGCACCAAAAGGAAGCCTGATGTATTGAAAAAGATCTATATGCGTGTTAATGGCAAACACTTCTCTGGTGTTTTCGGATACCTCGATTTTTAGGTATGCGTCTACTAGATCATGCTTAGTAAAGTATCTTCTACTAATGAAGATAAGGAGGTCCTTTGGAGTAGGTAAAGAGCATCGATAAGGCTCGAGTACATCATTGAGTCCGGTCGAAAAATCTGCGCAAATACGAATGGATCCATTGGCCTTTTTCACTACAACTATAGGTGTGGCCCAGGACAACTAATTTGCGGGAACGATGATATTCAGGCCTTGAAACTGCTTGAGCTCTTGATCTACGAGATCTAACGTTGCATGAGGCACCCGTCTTTTTGGGCAGAATACCCGTTGCGCGTAAGCTTTTAACTTCAGTGTCACAGAAGCTTTTGGGCAACAACCAATGTCCTTTTGAAACACATCTGGCAATTTCAGAGGTGATTCGTCGCAGTCCCCTGTCAGTCAGCAGGGTCCGACACGTCTGGAAAAGCACCAGACAGCTGTTTCGACCTTCTGGGTCTCGTCAGTGGTGTGCCTTCCTCGGACCCCTGCCGGGTTCCGACCCCATGACTTCCGGATGCCAGCAGCTTGTGCCACTAAGTCGTGGGTGACGGCTGTGGACTTGCATGACTAACAATTGCCCACGATTTAGGGCGGCTCATCCTCCACTGCGCACCACTGACGAGACCCAGAAGCTCGGAACAACTGTCTGTTTATTTTCCAGACGTATCGGAGCCTGCCGACTGAGAGGGGACTGCGACGAACCACCTCCGAAGATACACCCAAATCTGCACTGCTCTTTAGTAGACATATGTGAATTGTTGCGGCTCACTGAACAAGTGGTTAGCCGACGGTGGAATTGTCGTTGACGACTGAATGCGGTTACAAATCTTGTTACTGACCATAGCTGTAAGACCAAGGTGGTTACTCCAGTCCAAACCCAGGAGGTTCAAGTTGGATGGGTGCGTACCAAAATGAAACAGAACACTATTTGGCCTATCAATTTGACTGCCGCCGCAGACACTGGTCGCGACATGAGAAGCGCGTTGAATTAGGGACCTGCCAGGGGACATCCAGAGTCGGGGAGAAATTATAATGATGTCTGAAGTTGTGTTCACTTGAAGCCGAACTGAATGCCCATTACTAGTGTGACACGTACCGCCTCTGCGATGTAACTTCAAATTTGAAGGTTGCCAAAAGTTCTACTAATTTCCCGACAGCTTTGGGCCTGGACCTCCTCTTGGCAGTGAGGTGTACATGTCTATGTATGTTGGCAGAAACCATCCTTGGGATCCAGTTTGGTGCAACCGGAACACCTACGATTTTTGGACGAGCGAAATGCCAGGCGCCACAATGCCATCAGAGAGATGGTAGCTTCCGGTGTAGTCCATAATTTGTTGGACCTTATGGAGTACGTTGCTTACAGTCAACTGTGTTAACCGTAGCGAGAGTTGGTCCAACCTACTGAATCATCGTGATATCATGCTTTACGCTCATGAGACCGAAATATTCAGTGATGCCACGTTGCAGATTAAAATTTTCATGCTGCTGTAATTTGTGCAGTAATCGAGTACGAATTTCATTATCGTTAGGTGACGTAAAACCAAGAATGAAAATAACACTGGTTCATCATGAGGGACAACTCGAAATGTTCAATTAACTTAACAATGCCAGCATGAGTAACCATGTCGTCACCGTCATTAGGTTAGGTTCATGCAGTTGAAGCGCATGTTGTACAGGGAAACGTGGTTAACGAGAATCAGCGACAGCTACATGATGCGGGAACTTTGGACAAAATGAACTGAAATTTCTAGTGTTCGTCTGGACCGAGTTTCTGTAGCAAAACTCGTACACGCCAAGGTCCTTCCTGGGTTGCGAAGTCCATGCTGGATAGCACTTCGTAACAGTCGAACCACGATTTAAAAGTGCCCCCTGCGGCAGCATCATAATGAAACCCCGTGATGTTATTTGAACTGGTCGTCCCTGGCCTGAATTGACAGTTGATTATCAATCGGAACTCGAAGTCGCTGGCCCCCACAGGAGCAAGAGAAGACCGGATCGGACGAGCAGAGGAACAGGGTTCTATTAGCCAATCATGCCCTCCATTATAAAGGTAAAATCGTAAGTTCGTGAATGGTATTTAAAGCTCAAGTGGAAAACTCCAGTAGGGTCAACCTACGGCCAATCAAGTAATGCCATCCTGGTGTCAATTGGTCCATTCACCCGGTTGGCTATCTGTTCGTCCCAATCCATGCGGGTGAGTTTGGCTCGCCTGCCATGCCTTGGCTCCGTAACGAAAGTGATCACCTCGGTTGTTCGCTTAGAGTTGCTCTCCTTAACGTTATGCATAAGGTTATCGATGGACTACAGTCCTACTAATCAAATGGACTAGCCGGAGCCACTTCTGCAATATCGACTGCTTCATATCGTCGAATGCGATCGACATGATGCTTAAATTAATACAATCCTCCCACTTCCGTCGCCAAAAATAATCTGTTGTCGGCACCATGCGAGCCTGTAATGCCTCGTGGGGAGTGTATCAACAAACAGGAAATCGATCCATGAATCGGGAAAGCACTGGATTTTTGTACAAGTATATTAACTCCAATAGAATGTGAAACCGCAGCTGGCTGTACAGACCACGTAGGCCGGGGTCACAATGTGAGTTTCATTCAAAAGTCCCGATCGATCAGAAACGGCCGTTAGATTGCCGAATTGTTATCAGTTAATCAAGGCGACTCTGAGCCGTAAGAATAACACTTCAGGGAAAACCCAGTTTCTCAAGAGCATTGCCGCACGATATCGTTGCAGTATAAGTCTTTTGCGACTGGGAGAAAATAGCATTCCTTTGCTAAAAGTTTGCCGCTTTGCGCGAATTAGTCGCCATTTTGCCCATAGTCCTGCTTGTATGTAGTTAAAAGATATCAAGCAGAAAGCACATTTTTAGAGCGCAAATGCAGAGATTGAAGAAGTGAAATGACACGGTTTTGCATCCAGCGACATTCTGATAGCTAGTTAAAACGTTTGCCCGAGTCGTTATATTGAACTCATTTTAAAAACTTGTTGAAGCCAGTAAGTCGATTGTTTAAAGGCATCTGGGGCATTCACATCAGTGTCCAATTTATCAGCACGAATGTAGCGGTTCATGGAACTATTAGACCAGTACATTGATGCAGTAACCGGAACGAGTTCAGCAGACGGGATAACACGGTGTCGTAAGTATACGCTTTACTAGTCTAAAACTGAAGTGCATCCAGCTGAAAATAAAATAGTTGATTTTGTCCTACTGTGTGACTGAGGCCAAACCATGTTTATGACCACAGGTCTTTTATTCTTACTTGTTTTGAAGCTGTTACCAGTCTGTCTGGTTCGTATATCTTCTCAACTTCTGTTTTAGCATCAATGCATCATTTTTCATAGAAACCCATATGCAATATGAGAAAGATATCTACCGGTTCCAAAATACGGAGGCGCGGCAGGATGGCAAGATCACGCGCCATGATTCTAGCTTGGGCCCGCAAGCAAAAACAGAAAAGTAGGTTCACCACTTTCGTCTTTAGTTCTCATTCACTTTTCAGACTTGTGTCATCCAGTTTCTATCCCCTTGAGAGTTCCTTTAGTGTGTCCCCTGATCGGTTGTAATGGCACCGGACACGTGAATGGTATCGATCTGGCACATGTGACATTATCCGGGTGTCCAAACTACCACAATCTACCCTTTGAAAAGTGGGCTGAAATGCGCGCTCGAGAGGACGGTTTCGTTTCTCCTGTTCAGCTGCACTCGCGGGATCCTAGCCCTATAGGCTCTCCTAACAAGACGGCTAAGTGTGTTCACTCGGTCGAACGGTCACATCAGTTTCGAACATTGATGAAGGAACCTTCTCTTGATGAACTTGCAACACCAGTGGAAATATATCAGTTCCGATGTTCGCAACAGAGGTTGCTGGTAGACAAGGTATGTCAGACTTCTGCTCGAGTAAACGCGATTGAAATGGTTCGATTTTTCGTTTGTTTTCCTCGTCAATTTTCGTGGTGATCTTTATTCTACTGACTGCACTAGAGGTCGGGAATGTCTGGCATTTGACATCCGCATTCTGGGACCAAATCCACTCTGCTGCATGGATTTGAGCGTCTCGACAGTATCCTAACCCGTGTACATCCCTGAGCAGTTGTATGGCTGCGAATCCCCAATGAGAAATGCTAGGTTGCTGTTCATTCTCTACTTACTTTCTTCTAAGATACCTTTAATCCTTCGTAAATCTTATTCGAACGTTGCCGTAGCTGAATGATCCCCTTGTGCCTTGATGACACGCTACCATTTTACTTAACTGACAGTGTACTGATTAGTGTGTTACATTTTAGCGGATTCCGTTTTTCTGCTGTATAAGTACCACTCGCGCAGATTATTAAACATGTTATGTGTCAGTTAACACCTCCCATTGGCAGCTCTAGTGACGATTTGTTCGCACGCCTTTCCAGCTTGCCAGATGTTTATGTACTCATATACATTGGGGGGTTTTGTCACATTTCTCTGTTTGGTCCAGTACGGATCGTATCCTCACAATACACGCATCTGTTCAATCCATCTTGTTAGGAGCACGAAGCAAAGGAGCATCTTATTTTGTGCGCTCGAATTGCATCATTGAGATCCACCGCTTCCGGTAACCGTGGACTCGATGGCTCACGCACACAACCATATAAATCCAGTCACAACCACAAGTCCCATTCGGTGGAGCACACTGGAGCTGCGCTGAAGCAGCGCATTTCCTCTGTGATTTTTGGCGACTGGCAAATTGAACCCACTTACCTGAGCGACTATCCACCAGACATTGCTTGTTTACCGACTATCTACGTATGTGAATACTGCCTGGCGCCGATGCCCTTCAGTATCACCTATGAGAGACATCGAGTAAGTTCCGTAACTAGTATTTTTAACAGATTCATCCTTTTTGTGCTTTATTGCAATTATTAATTATGTTTTTCATCACACTGTGTTCCCTTGAATCAGATCTGCAACCGAGTTCGAGCAAGTCCAGACCCATCTGCAAAGTCCATTGAAGATATGACACGTACCCTGAAGCGAAAATTTGCTTCTGTCTTTCAGGATGGCTTGGGCCATTGTACGAAATTTAAGGCAACTCTGAACTTGCGACCAGGTGCTAAACCAGTGTTCAAGGCTAAAAGACCGGTACCATATGCAGCCATGTCAACCGTTGAGCAAGAGCTCGATCGACTGGAACGTGCCGGAGTCATCACAGCAGTCAACTACTCATCATGGGCCGCACCTATTGTCGCAGTAAAGAAAGCAAATGGCAAGGTACGCGTCTGCGCTGATTTTTCAACTGGCCTCAACGCCGCGCTGGATGACCATCAGTATCCCTTACCTGTACCGGAGGATATCTTTGCAAAGCTGAATGGTGGTAAGTACTTTGCAAAGCTTGATCTATCCGATGCTTATCTGCAAGTGGATGTTGACGAAGACTCGAGGGAGTTGTTGACGATCAACACTCATCGTGGGTTATTCCAATACAACCGCTTGCCATTTGGTGTGAAAACGGCGCCAGCCATCTTTCAACAGTTGATGGACACCATGCTAGCGGGAGTTTCTGGAACCGCTGCTTATCTGGACGATATCATAGTGATGGGTCGAACACCGGAAAAACTCTTCAACCGCTTGGATGAAGTGCTTGGTTGCATACAGTCGTACGGCTTCCGGATCCGTGAGGATAAATGCACATTTTTCACGCCGCTCATCAAATACCTCGGGTTTATCCTCGAAAAGGATGGACGTCGACCAGACCCGGAAAACATCGAAGCCATTAGAAAAATGCCTCCACCCACAGATCTACAGTCTCTGCGTTCCTTTTGTGGGCTCATCAGCCACTACAGCGCATTTTTGCCTGAGATGCATCGCTTACGTGCCCCGTTAAACAAGCTCCTATCCAAAGGACAACCTTGGAACTGGACAGCAGAATGTCAGAATGCCTTCGAACGCGTCAAGTCACTGTTGTCTTCAAACTTGCTTTTGACCCATTTCGATCCCTCCAAAGAGATCGTCCTAACCACAGATGCATCAAGCCATGGGATTGGTGCAGTAATTGCACACACGTACACCGATGGATCTCAAAAAGCAATCGCCCATGCCGCCAGAACCCTTACCAAGGCCGAGAAGAATTACAGTCAGATTGAGGAAGAAGCATTGGCCATAGTGTACGCGGTTAAGAAATTCCACAAAATGCTATACGGCCGCCGCTTCAAGCTTCTGACAGATCACAAACCCTTGCTCGCTATCTTTGGTTCGAAAAAGGGCATCCCGGCCTACACCGCCAACAGACTACAACGTTGGGCTCTTACCTTAATGGGGTATGATTTCGCGATCCAATATCAGTCGACAATTTCCATTGGCCAAGCAGATGCACTGTCACACCTAATTGATACCCGTCAGCAAGAACATGAAGACACAATCATTGCCTCGGTGGAGATTGAACCAGACGTCAACTTTCTGGTAACTGATGCACTGCACTGTCTACCAGTTACCGCAGAAGCTGTGCGGACCGAAACACTTCGGGACCCAATACTCAAGAAGGTTACTCAGTTTCACAAAACAAGTTGGCCACGTTCCTGTCCATCCGCCGAATTGCAACAGTATTTTCAGAGGAGACACTCACTCGCTATTGTAAACGATTGCATACTATTTTCGGAAAGAGTGGTCATCCCCAAGACACTTCAGGAGCGCATTCTTCGACAGTTCCACGCCGGGCATCCTGGAATCAACCGGATGAAGGCGCTTGCCCGCAGTTATGTATACTGGCCCTTAATGGACAAACAGTTGGAAGAAATAGCCAGACGCTGCCAAAAGTGTGCCGATGTCTTGAAAGCACCACCGAAAGCAGAACTCTGTTCATGGCCAATAGCTACTAAGCCGTGGTGCCGCATTCATGTCGACTTTGCAGGACCGATCAACGGGAGAAGTTTCCTCATTATAGTCGACTCATACAGCAAGTGGCCAGAAGTATTTCTCATGGATAACACCACCACCAATGCCACCATATCGAAACTGCGCCAAGCCTTTAGCAGATTCGGCTGTCCTGAGACAATGGTCACTGACAATGGCTCACAGTTTACTTCAGCAGCGTTTAAGGAGTTTTGCAAGCAATGCGCCGTCCAGCACGTTCGCTCGCCGCCGTTTCACCCACAGTCTAATGGCCAGGCAGAAAGATTTGTCGACACATTCAAGCGAGCCCTCCAAAAATCAAAAGGGGAGGGACGTATAGAGGAGGTGGTTGACCGGTTCCTTTTCCTCTACCGATCAACACCGAATCCACAAGCACCAGACGGAGTCTCTCCAGCACAGGTTATGATGAACCGGAAGCTCCGCATGCCTTTCGACGCCATCCGACCGGGCTCGGAGTCCTCTGTTGGTGAAAGAAACCGCAGAATGGAACAGCAGTTTAACCGGCGGCATGGAGCAAAGAAGCGATCATTCACGCTTGGACAGAAGGTGCTAGTACGTGACTACCGGGAAGGCTATGCGAAATGGACGCCAGGGACGGTCATAAGCAAGCGCGGAAACGTCATGTATGACGTGAAGGTGGGCGCACAGGTCTGGCCGCGGCATGCAAACCAGTTACGTTCCACATTGTGCCAGCCAGAACAAGAAAGGCCTACTGATCTCCCGTTCGATTTACTGGTGGAAACTTTCAACCTGCCGAAAGTAACAGTGGACGACTGCCCAAGGTCGAGCAACGAATCCAGAACAAGAACATCGGAACAAGGCTCTCGGGCGCTTCTGCCAAGGAGGTGGACCGACAGGCAGAGAACACCGTCCCGAAGACTGCAAGTTGATCCCAGGCTTTCCTCTTACACCTCGGAACATATCTCAGGAGGGGAGGTGTCCGGGAGAAAGTAAGAATTGCCTTGGAAATTCCCTATTTTAGCGATTAATCGATTATTAACGATTATCGCATCGATTTCGAACGTTCCTGAATGTTCTTCTTCTACACGTGATCAAAATCCACCTGACCTCTCAGGAAAAGATATGGGGAACCACTAACCTTGGCAGCTGACCTTCCAATTCTAGAAGTCGAAGGTCAGCAGAGACCTATAAATACAGCCAGGGTCCTCAGTCGTTGTACAGTGTTCGTTGGCTGCGATTAATACGTTATTTGTCAGGGTCATTGGCGTTCTGCTTTTTTCCTTCGGTTGGGCTAGAAGTTTTGCGCAGCAAAGAATTGTTATTTTTGAAATTGCGTCTAGTGAGAAGATTATAACACTGATACATCTCACCTGGATATTCCCTGCCGACTTTATTCTAATTCCACGTACATGCAGTTGCTTGCATCATTAACTACCTATCTTTTACTGGAGTCACCTGAACTACCATAGCATGGCATCAATTTGTCACCTGTCATTTACCGCATGCATGCACCGGTTGCGTGAAGTCATTGCATGCGTACCAAGCACTTTTTTGCATCGGTTTGGCAATAATCCACTTCACTCATTTACTACCTTCGATCAAATGGACTCCCGAAGGTGTCGGGCCTTGCGCATGAGTTACTTTACTGATTCTCAGCTAAAAGAAGGGTGTAACCCAACTCCCCCATAGCCGTCGCCACGAAGAGGCGTTCAGGACTTGAGTCCACGGCACAGCATTGGGAGTAACGGGTTAACGATCTATCAGTATCTAGCCATCACGGGCCTCAGCGATCCATGGACTCTCCCGCTATTCAAACCGACTATACCAGGCCTTATCCACTCTTTATGACTGAATTTAGCTCAAATGCCAGGCAAAAACATGCTATTTTTCGGTTGAGCTGGCATCCCATTCTCATATCAGCTGTCATACGTTGGAATGAGGAGTGGTCATCATTACACCCTCTTCGGTACTCCGGTGTCGACCTGCCTCAGTCATTCGCTGCGCACTTCTGGTCATTTTTATCCACACACATTTAAATACACCCGAGTTCGTAACAATTTTGGGGGTACATGATTCACCTGATAGTTGGAGGCGTTTTTATCCGTTGATCTCAAATGCGACTCCTGTATCTTATTTTTTTAAGCAAAAGGCGATGTTTTCATCCTCCTCATCATCAACGACAGTACATCAGCCATTTGAACTGATGTTTCGCTGCCGTACAACCACAACGACCTAGAGAACAAAGAATAATAAGGGGGAAGAACGGGGACTTAGCCTAAGACCTTAATGCTTTAAACAAACATATACGGTCAAGACGCCTACCACTTATGTCCTCATCATGATCATCACTATACACGTTAGCTACAGGTGGAAAACATCTCAGCTTTTGTGCCGCAATACAAAAGACAAGGAAAAAAACAGGCACACCGGCTGAATCCCCAGTAACGGATGGACATCGTTCCGGAGAGCTAACAGCCGGCTATCGTGCCAGTGGGGCCGGCTCCTAGCCAAATCAGCAAGTGTGTCCAACCAAACGTGTTCATCATCCTTAGGACCCCAGTCAGACAGTCGAGATGCACCAACCGACGCCAACTTCGAAGTGATGGTTTTCATTTCTCTCTACCAAGTCATCGCTTGGCCTCCCCTTCTCCTTTTCCAACCGCACCCCTGGCGCGCAAACAATGCACTTCGCGGGAGTCGGTGTTCTGGCATGCGCAACACGTGGCCCATCCATCGGAGCCTGTTGCGTGATATAATGGTGCTGAGCAGTTCAGTAGCTCTTCCTGCACCAAATACGCGACGCCGAACACGCTCATTGCTCACGTGGTGCTCCCACCAGACATGAGCTAAGCTGCGGAGGCAGCGATGATCGAACGTGGCTAGCCTCTTTACGTCTGTCGATCTGGTGGGCCAGGTTTCACAACCATATAAGAGGTTTGAACGGACGGCTGCATTAACTGCAGCCTAAACTTGTGTCAACAACGTACCGTCAC